GGAAACAATTATTTGATACTGTTTCAAAATGGTTACCTTCATGACCTGAACGATGCAATAGAAAATCGAAAATCTTTAATACTACCCACTACAGATGTGACACAAATTGACCATGTGCTATACAAAGAAGTGAATAATTACATTTATATTGGTTTAATAAGTGGAAACAGTTTTTATTGGACAATTTACATGGAGGGGTCTCAAAAATACTCCAAAATAGAGTTAAGCAGAGATGGTTTAGCTGTGAGGGGATATATGCTTCATGCAATGGGAAATATTCCCTACCTCTTTACCTTGTGTAAGTATTTAAGAACCAGTTCTTATATTAAGTGTTCAAAATGTATTCCATCTACTTGATGGCATAATTTATCCTTTTGCTTAACTCTTGTTGTACTCATTCAAATGTGTCAGATCAAATTGCCCTACATTCTTTAACAATTTGTTGTTTCAGAATGTCAATACTATCAGTGCTGTAGAGTAAACCTTAAGTTTCACCTATCCCCACAGAAAAATAATCTAATGATGTCAGATCTGGTGACCGAGCTGGCCATTCTATCAAACCTAGTCATCCAATCCATCTACCACGATATTCCTTATCTAGATAAAGTCTTACTGTAACATGATAGTGTGCAGGAGCACCATATTGTTGAAACATTATTTTCAAGTTACCGAATTGATCTGGTTTATCTTCCAGAATTTCAAGAATTAGCTGCTCAGTTGCGTTTTGTAACATCTCCAGGTACACTTCACCAAATTAAGTTAGCATTGAGAAAAACAGGTCCAACTGTGTGGTTTTTCAAAATACCTGCCCAAACATTTACTTTTTCTGGAAATTGAGAGTGGTTTTCAAGACTTAAGGATTTGTGTCACTCCAATACCTCACATTATGTGTGTTAACATTTCTATTGAGGGAAAAAGCACTTTCATCACTAAAACAAATTGTATTTATATAATCTGGTTGTTGGTTCATTTGATTGGACATATTTTCACAAAATTCTAGTCTTCGGTCGGGTTCATCTTATGAAAGTTGGTGCACAATTTTTAATTTGTATTAATTAAATTTGTTTTTAGCCAACACTCGATGTAATGTACTTTAACTGATTCCACATATAGGCTTATTATCACTAATTGTTGGTCAACCTGATCATTTGGCATCTTGAACACTACCTGTTTCTTGAAACTTCCGAAGAACCTCCCCCAAATAACTCCTTGAACAATCGGGGTACCTCTCATTAAAAAGATGTTTCTCTGTGTGGAAATCATCGAGCAAAAAGACAAAAAAGGGAATGTAATGGTAGTGGGGGCAAACATATTGTTAGACAGGAAGTGCGATCTTTAGAGGCCACATTAAACAAGGAAAGAGAGTCTCACTCCTTGTTTGACATCAAATTTAGTTGGGTTATGTTATTGTTTGTCATAAATGTCACGTGAAATATTATTTCCATTGAAGTTTTTTAACAATTGTGTCGCATTTTAGACTATTATCGTTAATAATTAATTAAAACTTTCTCGTCTAAGACATATTTTGAAACATATTATATAGCTACTGTTGAAAGTGTCGGAAAATTTAAATTTGGCGCATTCGCATTTCCGGATATGTCCGCCATCAGAGGCCACTTTTTTGGTCTCCTTTTCATAAGGATTAGATTGCCTCTTTTGTCTTTTTGCTCGATGGTGGAAATTGTTTCTACATTCGCCTGTTAATAAGACAGTTGCTACTTTGTCGACTACAGTATGTACCATTCTGGCTATGTAAACATTTAAACATCTTGTTAAACAATAATTTAACTAAATATTCAAGGCATAAACACTGCATCTCAGTGTTGCAGTGCGAAAGCAGCATCCGCAAAAGTTAAATGTTTGGACTGGGATGTTAGGTGACCATATTGTCGGTCCATTTTTCGACGCCTTTCCGTTAATTTTCAGGAGGTTTATGTCCAACAGGATAGGTGTTCGGCGCACAACTCTAGAGTAACTATTGACTTCCTCAATCAAACTTCTATATTAGTTTAATTAAATTAGTTTAATTTAGAATTATAATAAATATACTCTAGAGATGTCATTTATCTGTATACATAAAAATGTAATATTATTTTTTAGGGTCTGATGGCAGTATTTTTGCAAAATCGCTAGAAAACGAAAAATCTTCTGAACACGACTTGGGCGAGCTATACACAATAGTGGATTCTGTATCTTCCAAACATTTTGTGGCAATGGTATCTCTAGATGAAAATTACATAGGCTTGTATGGTGCAAATACAAACGAAGAAGGAGCTATGCTAGCTATATATAATCTACAGTTCAAAGTTACCCAATCTAAACAGCCTTTTAAATTGTTTACTACAAATACTAAAATATGGATACTAGAAAGCAGTATATTGCTGCCTGTGGGACAAAATTTGGCGGTTGTACCTTTTCATCTTGAGACAGAACAACTAGCAGCACTAGTGGGAAGTCATAAAGAACTTCAGAATAACCTCGATGCAGATATTAAAGTAGTACATGAACTGAATGTAACTTCATGGGACGGGAAACAACTAACAAACAATTTACCTGCAGATTTAAAAACTAAACTTGAGCAGTACATAAATCAAGGATTATCAGAGAATATCATTTTTGAAGAACTTCTACCCGAAATCATAAAACAGAAAGATTTGGATCTACTGTATCTACTACTGCGCCACTTTTCTGATATTCATGAGAAGTATCTTGTCCAAATTTTAAATTACGCATTAGAAATTAAGAATTCGAAGCTTATTAATACAGTAATTGCTAGATCTTTTAGTGAAGTTCTCATTCTGCCTTATTTGCGATCAGATCTTTCCACGGATAAAGTTCTAGGATTGTTAGAACATATTCAAAGTACTTGGTCTATAAACAAAACGTTAAAAGGTTTGAACTTTGTAGAAACCCACGCAAAGTTTTTAGAATGGAGTTGTGTGTTGATCGATGCCAATTATCAGAAAATAGTTTTATCGAACGACAAGGTATTTTTGGACACGTTAATTAAAATAGACGAACTAGTGAAAAATTATTTAGAGTCCTTAAATTACTTGAAAGCTGTGGAGCCTTTGTTAAGTAATTTTAAGAAGAATAAAACTGTTAATAGGTGTACTGTCGTTGACAATTTAAGGTATTCGATTGAACAGATTAGTTTGTATTAGTTGTTGTAATATATTTTTCTTTGATATAGTTTTTTTTAATAGAACCCATGACAAGATAAAAAGAAAAAATATTTTTGGAGAGCAAAACATTTTGGAAGCTTAACCAGTGGCGGACTAAGAATAAAGCGGGCCCTAGGCAACATTGTAATCCAGAGCCTTTTTCAGTCATGACAGGGGGACAAAGAAGGAGCCTCCACGGGATCAATAGTGCAACATCAACTGCAAAGAACACTATCGATGGCGTCCTCTGGAAACGGCTACTAGTAGATGGCTAATTTCTTGTTGGATGTTATTTTCTTCTTTTAGTTGTTTAACTTGGTTGTTAATATATTCCCCCACTTGCTTTTAACTTCCGGATGTTGCAGGGCTGTCATGTCGTAGTTAGGTCTAGACTTTTTCTTTATTGTCTTCAGTCTCACATCCATGACTCCCACTAAAGGTATGTGGTCAGATTCAATGTCCGCTCCTGGATATGTTTTGACAGATTTTAAACTGTTTCTGAATCTTCTATTTACCAATATATAATCTATCTGGTTTCTAATTACGTTATGGGGTTTATCTGCTGGTGCCTTCCATGTATACAATCTCCTCGGTGGCAGTTTATAAAATGTGTTCAGAACCACTAGCTTGTTATCTTCTGCGAATATTTCTAGTCTGCCACCTCTTTCGTTTCTTTGTCCTAACCCAAAAGGTCCGATTAGAGACGTTTTCCGTTCGGCCCCAAGTTTTGCATTGAAATCCCCCATTATGATGCTGACTTCGTGTTTAGGTATTCGTTCTAATATATCTTCTATGCTTTGGTAGAGAGTCTGTACTTCCTCGTCGTCTTTATCTGCAGTGGGAGCGTATATTTGTATTTTGTTTACATTCACTGGATTGGCTCTTATTTGCAGTAGTATTACTCTGTTGGACACTTGGACAAAATTTAAAATACATCTACTAATTTTTCTCGTTATTATCACACCAACTCCATGCTCTAGTTTTCCATCTGGTGACCCTGAGTAGAATATTCTGTGATATTGTTTGTCAATGCTTCCTGTTCCGGCCAATCATCTTTTAGTACTAGGCAATTCCATTGGCTCCAGCAACACTTGACTTCAGGACTACATGCACTAATGTCTTGCCAAGAAGGCCTTTCACTTCGACGCATCCAATCCAATACTCTTTTTATACATGTGTCATCTGCTTGAGCGTATTGTAGCTGTTGTTACTGGCATTGATCATTAATGACGGTGGTTCCTCTCACGGGGCAAAGTCTTTCTTCTAATTTAAGACAGTTACATGTTCGTAACAATACGAAGAATAATCATTTGTAGACTTATTATTAACTTACATTTTTTTGCTCGAAGGGCCGTTGTTCTCGTTGCACGACATTTTAGTTGCTACTGAACTGAAACACGTGGCAACGTAGGACCGGAAATTTCAAGTAATCTGTATGATGCGTGCGCATCTTTCTCTCTAGCCGAGTGTCGCATATATCGGTCGGTGACTCATATAAACGACAATCATCTGTGTGGCAAATTATGAGATCACGATATATCCGCTAGTCGTCTACCTGCCAATTTCATTTTAAAATTTTAGCTGATTAATCATACACTGGTCTTTGGAGACGGATAAACATAGTGAAATATATATCGGTTAGTCGTCCGTTTGGCAATTTTCTTTCTGTCCGATATATCGGTCAACCACCCTAAAAGAGTTAAACTCTAGCTATTGACTAATTCTAAATAAAAATACAGCAATATTATAAAAATCGTTTATTAATATCCTATGGAACATGTTCCCATTAACAAAATACGATCAGTCAGTATATTTAAAAGTAATAAAATATAGTATAATAAAACGTATCAATTTTTATTACAAAATTATTACAAAAACATAATATTTACATCCGAAAAAATAGCGATACATCATTTTGCAACAATCTTTTGAGCTTGGCAGTATAAAATTAAAATGTTACCCCAATTTCTCTGACTTATATTTTTCCATAAATACAATAAGTATTCCAATCGATTAAAACCTATAAAATAAATATATGTACTTTAAATTAAGATTAATGCAGTTAATTTATAAAAATATTTATGTACAAAATGATCAATTTCTTTAACATTACATCAAATTTATTTATAATCCCCAAACGTGCTTCTAGACCATTTTTAGTATTACCAAAATGTAACAAAAATTAATTACCGAAGAGAATTAATGCAACTACTGTCTGATGTCAAATGTCATCTGCCAATAATGACTGTCAAAAAACTCTCGCATGTTAAAGTAAAATTAAAAATTATTAATAAATAATAGTAAACTGCAATTATTTTCTGGTAGACCATTAAAACGTATAGACACGCCTACCGAATCGTTGAAGCCAACAGCTCTTGCGCAAGTGACGTCACACTACGGCAAGAACACTGAATTGGATTTTTAGAAAAGCCCTAATAAAATTACCCAATTTTAAATGAATTTTTAAACACTGGAAGAGAAAAGTAAATTAATGGATGCTAAATTTCTGGTAGGTTTTCCAAGTTTAATTTATGAATTTACTTACCCATGAAATGATATATCTGTCCCCTTTTGTGTCGCTGCGTACAATTAAATGCACTGCAAGATAATACCATAATTTAAAAAATAATGTATTAGAAAAGTATTAAATTGGAACTTAACACTTATAACAAGTTTGCACATTTAAACACTTCTAGTTTCTAACGTTTTCTGCCATATACTGACGTCACGCACAGCTGCACAAAGCAATTTAAGCTGGCTTCACTCTTCGTAACGCATACAGCGTGTCTGTAAGTTTTAATGGTCTAAAATAGTAGTATTGTACCTAGTATTGAAGTATTGATACTAAGATAGTAGTAACGATATTTCCATAATTGCTGTCCAATGTCAAACGTCAAAGGCGAAGAAGATAATTACAATTAACTTAATATCTTGATTTTCTGAACACTACTTTCGTTCATATTTTTCCATAAAAGAAATTTTTATAGCTATTTCCTAATGAGAAATCTCACCAGTCAATGGTGAGTGCTAAAAAATTATATCAATGGAACAACTGTAATGGGAAGCAACTTTATGGGGATACATTTGGTCAATCTTCTACAAAAAAATCACGTTTCTTTAACAAATTGATTAAAATCATGTAGAAAACCTACCGATTAGATTCATTCTCGTATCATTATATATTTTTGACATGTATTGGGGATGGAGAGAACTGAAAATAAACAGAGAAAGAAATCTAATATACTACAAATTTTAGAACATCATTTCGTTGGAGACATCATTATCTTATACCACCAAGAACAAGTTTATGAATTTTAATAATGCTTAACAAAGTAACAATAATAATTATTATCATAATAAAACCAATTTAACTTGATCAAGATATTTCGATAGTTTCGATCTCAGAGCAGAGAGGATTTTTCACTTTTTCGATAAAGCTCAAGATCTGCTTGATCTTATCTTGGGTGCTGTGCTGCGTCATCAAGAGTTGGTCTTGCTGATTTTTCTGATCTTTTAAAGATATGGTCAATTGTGAATGTCGGTCTTGTAGCTGCGTCAATTCGGCGGCAAGAGATTGCTTTATCTCTTCTAGCTGCTTCTTTTGGTCCAGTTTTTCTGCAAGAGATGAAGTTCATAAACTGATGTTACCTAAATGGAAAATTACTTAGATACTAGGAGTTAGTAAGAAAAACTTAAAGTAATAAATTTTATGGAGATTAGAAATTAAACTAATTCATAGTACAACTTTAAATGATCGAGTTTCTAGTTTCCACTAAATATTAAAGGCGGTACCCTTTATGTACTCTTACTGAAATGAATATGTAAATGGAGGTTCAAGCCACGTTAAACGAGCAAGCAAACAGATTACAGAAATAGTTCAAAATGTACAGGAAAAACAGTCAGATAAATTAATCAAGAAAAATCAAGATCGCAGATGAAATCCGGAAGCAGATGGATGAAATAAGAAAAGCCAAATATGGCTCAGACAGATACAAAGCAACAGAAAAGAATTCAAGGCAACCACAAGACTATTAACAACAAGGAAAGATGTATTGAATAGATTCATCTAGAATAGATCAATTCAGAACGTCTGCTCATAAACACCATAAAGAGGAGAAAAACAGAATACTTCGGCCATATAATTAGAGGACCTAAATACCATTTACTTCGCCTTATAATACAAGGAAAAGTGGAAGGAAAGAGATGGATTGGTCGAAAGAAACTTTCATGGCTGCGTAATAGATAGAACAAATCACCCGGAATAGATAATCTCCCAGCTGAACTATATAAAGAAGGTGGCCATGGTACCATAGTAGTGGAAAAATACCAAGCTGTTTTCAGAGGTGCTAAATCGACAATTCATCAGATGGAAACCCTGAAACAAATTTTGAAAAAAACACTGGAATATGGCATTGATACTCATCACATATATTTATAGACTACAAAGCAGCCTACGACCCTGTGAATGGAAGAGAAATGTTCAAACCAATGGAAGAGCTAGGAATCAGTTGGTAAATTTAACAAAACTAACTTGAAAAAGTTGAATGTAGATAGAGTAGGAATTCACGGAGAACTGTCTGAATCTTTTAAAACAAATAACGGACTACACCAGGATGACCCTCCTGTATACTGTTCAATCTGGCTCTGGAAAAGATAATACGTATGTTACAAATCACAACCATTGGTTCAATATATAATAAATCAGGGAAGCGAATGAAGAAGAAAGCAATGGAGAGATACCAGATAAAGATTGCCATAATGATCGCCAATCATTACTTGTTAATCGAGACCTTCTGAAGCTGAGGATAAAAGCCTTAAAATGCTACGTGTTCTCGACTTTGTAGTATGGAATGGAAAGCTGGACACTAAAAGTGGATAATATAAAGAAGTTGGAATCATTTGAAATGTGGTGCTATAGAAGGATTTTGAAAATACCATGGACCCAACGAGTTGCAAATGTAGAAGTGCTAAGAAGGCTAAAGACAAGGATTGCGAGGTCATAAAGCACATCAAAACAAGAAAGCTGGAATATTTAGGCCACATTACCAGAGGTGCTAAATATAAGATATTAAGGCTCATAATGCAATGTAAAATCAAGGGTAAAAGATCCATAGGAAGACGAAGAATTTCCTGGCTGAGAAACATAAGAGAGTGGTATAGTTGCAGCTCAGTACATCTTTTCAGAGCCGCTGTCAATAAGGTACGGATAGTTGTGATGATAGCCAACCTCTGATAGGAGAAGGAACTACAAGAAGAAGAAGAAGAATGATCGCTAACATTTGTCACAGATAGAAACACCAAGAAGAATATCTACTAATATACAGTGGTAAAGAGAAAACACATAGAATAATGTCTTGGAACCTTGAAAGTGGAATTATATCAACAAGGAGTTGGAAACATTTGAACCGTACATAATTGATATAAAATATGTGAAGAATAGAATATCCCCAATGAAGATAGGGAAAGTAACAACGCATTTTCCTAATTTTACCGCTTCCACAGATTGTATAGTCATTCATGCCGTAGAAAAAGGAACTAACAAGTTACAACTATCGATTAGCTAAATATAAAAAGATTTAAAATCTAGAAATTAGAATTGTTGATACCCCAGTATCAGAAACAACGTCTACACAAATACATGAGTGTAAATCGTAAAAGTGTAAATATAAAATCGAGACTTTAAAAATACTTTTAAAGTTATACTTTAGCAGGGATTAATATTGTTACGATATTTTTAATATCTACGCATCTGGCTGATTCTACGACTTTTATTTTTAAGGATTACACTCCTACCATTTGGTGCGTGATTCACGAGCATAAGTTTTTTGACTTTCGCTCGTGTTCAGTTTAGTGAAACCAGCTGCCGCTACCCAGAGAGGAAGAGTCTATTGAGGATGGCATGTGCATACAGAACAGTCTCTGTCGAGGCGCTGGGGGTTTATCACCGGGTGTACTCCGATGCACATGCTAGTGAAATAAAGAGAAAGAATATACGAGAGAAGAAATGAAGACATAGCAACAGAACGTTTAAAAAAAAGAAGAGAAAGGCCCATAAAGTGTGGCAAGAGGAATGGGACAAGATGAGAAGAACAGCGCAGTGGACGCAGCCGCTGATTCCTAATCTGAGAAGATGGATGGAATGCGGGAATTGTCGTCTGGATTACTTCCTGATGCAGATGCTCACAGGACATAGTTGTTTCAGGGCATACCTTTGCGGATTTGGAAAGGCAGAAAATGACAAATGTCTTACACACTATTGGCATGCGATAGATGAGAGAGACCTGCTTGAGAAAAATCTAGGAAGTAGTGTGTAATCAGTTACGGAACTGGTGGAGAAGATGCTTAGGTCGCCAGATCGGTGGAGATCAGTTCAGAGATATGTGAGGAGAACGTTGGAGAGAAAGGAACAAGAAAATGGAGGCAGGAGCAAGTAAGAAGATAAGGCAGAATGAGAAGGCGAGATTGAACATGAACAGAGAGGGAATACAGGAAGAGAAGAATTCAGTTGTAGTGAGAAAGTGCTAGTATGCGTGAGAATTGTGAGTGAATGAGAGATCCGGAGAATCGGATCCCAATTAGGGTGATCCGGCCGATAATTCACCGCTGAGGAAGATGTTTTTTTAGCAGGTAGGTCTCTGGCATTGACGGCGATGGTGTTCGAACCACACCTGCGTGCTGTCTCGGATATCATCGTGACCACGCTGGAGGAATGCTGCATAACCGAGGCTGGAAGGCGGCTCTGCCCACCGTCTAGTATCGAGCTATGTTCTTTTGGACCACCCAGCTCATAAAAGACGAAAAAATAACTATCGCCACCCAAAGATCGTAAGTGGCGTATGAAATACAGCGCAGTGTGAATGGAAGATCTGGTCAGGATGCTCATAAGCTGCTCACGGAATTGCCACTTCACTGACCCTGATTAAATAAACTGTAGGAGTGCTATTTTATGATGAATAAGTATGAAATGAAACAAAATCAGTATTTGGCGCAATTGTGTTTAAGTAATATCGTAACAATACCAAATAAAGTTTTCATTGAACTACAGCAAACACCAATTATAATTAAGTTGCTGCTGGTTGCGGTCATCGAACTACTCCCATCGGCGACACTATTGGAACTTGACATTTATTTAGTGGCATGTCTTGGATGTGTTAGCTACTGCTAATTGTTAATCAAGGTTATCTGCTATTCAAACAGACTTAATGTTCCCTTATAAAATACATGCTACGAAACCTCCCCTAATTGGCGTTTGTTGTTTAGAAATGATTATTATAAATATATGATAGCTTACCTGACATTTGAGCCGGCGTAAAGCACGACACTGTCATATATGAAGGCACATTAAGCGAACCTACGGTTCTAGTTTCTTTAACGATGCATTTTGGGCATTGGCGTGGAGTGTGCGTCAAGGGACGGTTGTGACAACTGATGTGGAAACTATTGCCGCACACTTCGCATAAAGTAAGAGCTCCTAAGACAAAATAAAAAAAATATATTTATAAGAATTACCCATCGATTTCTTAAAGATAAATAATCGGATTATGAATCAATATACGAGCCCTAACAACTATATGTTGGAACAAGCAGTTATTTTGCAAATAAAATACCAATTTATTGAAATTCTTTTATGTTAATTTTTTTTAATTGTAAATATGAAATTAACAAAATTTTTTATGATATATGGAATTATTTTTACAGTTTAATTATATAATTTTTGTTGATTACTATTTAATTAGTTGTTTGATAGCCAAAACATGCTGACAATTAAATGTTGGAACAAGAGGATTTTAACATATTAAAATAAATATTAATAATTTGTAACGTCGCCCTTAGATTGAAAACAGCCTGAACTCTATTAGTGATTGTACCATCTAGGCCTTCACAGAATTCAGGGGTGAAACTATCTCATATTTAAAATAGGTAACTTACACTAAAAAAAAACTCATTGTGCCCAAGACTGAGATGTAGTGCATTAAAGTCCTTTCCCCCCTTTTAAATTTAATGTTTGTTTCGTCCCTTCTAAGTGTTTTCTGTTTTAGTGTGTTTTAAATTGTCCTTAATTGTTTTAATTCTAATATTTTATTTACTTGACTTTACAATAATCTACTATTTTGCCAATAGAACTTTATCAAAGTAATTTGATAACTACAAGTTGAAAAATAATTGCACACCCACACAATTTGTACATCTAAACTTATTCATTGTCATAAAACTGTCACCTTCATAAAACAATTACTCAATAAATAACACACATTTCATAAATATATCTCTCGAATAAGTATAAATAACTTTTAATAATACAATGGTATATTACATCACTTTCATTTAACAAACAATCACACACATATCTCTGCTTCATTGGATCAAATCTATCTCCTCAAGAACTTCCCGTTTACTGTCAAACAACTACAATAGCAGAATTGAGTTCTCCATTCAACAATAGTAGTTTCAACCATGTTCTACCATCCATCAATTAATAGAGTACCGGCATCATTTATTTAACTTTGTATCGAGACCTGAGGATGCTTTGCATATTGTAGAAAGCGAAACCGGTCGTCTGATAGTTAAATTAAATTGATTGCGAGTAAGTCTTATTTATTATTTCTTTACCTATTTGAAATGGACTCACACAAGCAACACATTCATGATTTATCTCATATTTCTTGTAATTTAGCACGTAGTTGTGCAAAGTATGCTGAGAGATATTTCTTAGGCGTTGTTTCATTTTGAGTCAAAGTGCCTCTATTGTATTTAACATTCGGGCTGCTAGAAGGATGTGACAAAATTTGATATCCCATCCATATTTGGTAGATTAAGCCGTATGGCATGCAGCATAGCTGCGTGTACTGTGGCCTCAATAAAATGTAATGTTCCCAACTCTTTTGCCGACATACAACCCCACCATAATGCCCCGTGGAAACTTTACAGTTCTTTTCAGACAATCCTTAAGGAATGCTTGTGTTTTTTTTAATCACACGCTTTCGATAATCTCCCACACAGACATTAAATTTGCTTTCGTCGGTATAGATAACTTTGTCCCAGTTATGTTTGGTCCACGAAAGTTTTGATTTAGCCCAAATGTAACGATTCCTTTTTTGAGTTTACGTCAGCAATGGTTTTTCTTTGGCCTACTTGAATAGATTAGAAAACAGAAAATTTATATTGAATAAAACCTATTGAAAGAACCTATCAAACATACTTTAAAAAAACTGAGACCGCTTTTGTGGATATATTTACAACAGGATTCTCTGGAAACATTCATCCCAGTTTCTCTATTCCTTCTAACGGTTACTACTCGTAGTGTATTTCTTCTTCCCGACTTACATATTCGAATTAAATGCACTGCTTTGAGAAACAGCTTTTGGAGGGTCTGAGCTTTTTCTGCAAATTGCAGAGTACTGTAGTTTCACCGCGAAATTAAGAGAAAAATTGGAGAAAACAAAGAGAACTGGGTTCTGGACAACTGCAAGGAAATAGAAGAATATGATAGAAAGTACGGTAGCTTTAACATGCATAAAAAGATCAAGGAAATAACAGGTAAAAAAGTGAAACAAGCATCCATCGTAAAGGACAAAAAAGGTAAAATATTTACAGATTTAAATGAAAAACTGGCAAGATGGACAGAATATCTTGAAGAACTTTTTGCAGACGAAAGACCAGAAATAGCAGTGGCAGAACCTACAGACGACACAACAGGGCCTGAAATCCTAAAAAGCAAAGTAGAATATGCTATAAGGAACACAAAAGGGGGTAAAGCTGCAGGACCAGATGAAATTCCTGTAGAATTGTTGAAACTTATAGACGACGACGCACTTGAAATAATGGTGAACCTCTTTAACACAATTTATAGAACAGGCATCATACCAAAGAAATGGCTCTCCTCTACTTTTGTCACAATCCCGAAGACGAATAACGCCAGAGAGTGTTCATACCACAGAACTATAGTATTGATGAGCCACATACTAGAAGTATTTTTACAAATAATTCACAAAAGAATATTTAATAAATTAGAAGAGGACATAAGCGCCACACAGTTTGGATTCAGAGGTGGACTGGGAACACGGGAAGCTTTGTTTGGTACGAGTGTGTTAATGCAAAGATGTTTGGATGTAAACCAAGACCTCTACGTAGGTTTCATAGATTTTGAGAAGGCCTTCGATAAAGTCAGACACCAAAAGCTGTATGAAATCCTAAGAAGCAAAAACATCGACAGTCGCGACATTAACATCATATCCAGGTTGTACTAGGGACAAACAGCAAACATCAAAGTTGATAATGAGTTAACCGAAGAAATTGAGATTCGTCGAGGTGTGCGTCAGGGTTGTGTGCTTTCTCCACTATTATTCAATATATATAGCGAAACAATACGTCAGGAAGCGCTCCTATAGCAAAACATTTGTATGAACATTAACGGAGAGTTAATTAACAATATACGATACGCTGATGACACGCCAATAGTAACAGATAACCTAGCAAATTTACAGTTTTTGATGGAAAACATAAACATTCATACCAATAAGTATGGTCTAAAACTGAACATCAAAAAGACTAAATTCATGATTGTAACAAAGAAGCTATACACCAATGTGAATTTAACTATAAATAATCAGCCAGTTGAAAGAGTTACTTCCTACAAATATGTAGGGGTTTGCTTCACTGATACTAATGACCAGACAAGAGAAATCAAGAGGCGAATAGATATAGCGAGACCATCGTTTGTCAAAATGAAAAAGTTCCTATGCAGCCGGGACATAAATATAAACTTAAGAACGAGAATGTTAAGGTGCTATGTTTTCTCCGTTCTGCTATACGGCATGGAAGCCTGAACACTGAAAAAGATAAACATCAAAAGTAACAAATTAAGATGTTCTGGGGAAGGAATGCGAAGTCATAAAAACCATACAAACGAAAAAACTGGATTATCTGGGCCACATAATGAGATTTCTAATCAACTATTTAAAACGTAATGGTAACCCTGTTTGAATGCATTTTCCTTTCTTCAACGTACTTTGTTAATTAAAAGTCCATAGCAAACAATAATAAGTAAACAGAAATTGTCTTCTCATTGTAAATAAAATAGTTATAACAAATTGTCAGACAAGACTTGGCAACAACGTTCTGAATTTACTAAAAACGTGCATCTTCGTCTTGAACATTAGTTCATCTACCATCTTCACACTTCGCAGTTCTACGTTATTTTTGGCTAGTGTACACAATGTCACAGCAATTAAATAGTCGTATAAAGGACTTCATTTACTTATACTTAATAATATTCATTATTCAGTTATTTTTTTAAAGGAATAAAGTTCTTACCTGACTGTTTACAAGTCACACAAGTTTTGTTATCTGGCGACAAACTGCCCGTCGGGCTAACTCTCTCGATACTAAGGCCACTGGGAAGATTAGGAATTATCGGGAACGAGTTAAATTGCGAATTGGTTAAAGCGCTGCTGGCGTTTCCATTCTGCTCTGATTTGACCGGCTCTTCGATGTCGTCGACGATATGACCGATGTGGTGTTAGGAAGTGGAGGTGAAATACGTTCTTGCTTTCTTTTGATGGATTGGCGAGTGTGCGGAGGTGAAACGGGAGACATGAGAAAAGCATTTCGTTTCCGTTTCTGTTGAGGAAAAAATATTTCAATTAGTATCTCATTGTCAGATTGTAGATACAGTATTTTTAATGATTTATTAGGAAAAATAAAGTTCAATGCAGGTGCTACCATACGCAGTGAACAATTATTTTCATGGAATCGTTCTTAATAACCACCCGATGTCGATGCAATGTTCACAAACCAAATTAATAACATATTGACATCTACTGCACATGTCCACCGCAAAAATACAAAATTTGATGTTCAAATCTTAAGAGTACCTTCTAACTTAAAACGTGCGAAAAAAACTGCAATGAGAACTTTCTGAATGAATGAAAAAAGCTAACATACAATTGCTACAGCTGGCTCTCTGTAATGTAAGGAGAGCTGCTACAATCAGTGTTGCCAGGTTTACCGTTTTGATATTATGGACTACCGCTCTACCGCTAAGCTATTAAAAGCTAGCGGAAAAATCTTTATTCATAGCTATAAGACAAAATATTATAAAATAAGATATAATATAATAAAATTAGATAAAATATCGGTAGCGGGTAGGTACCCCTCTATGATCCCGATAGAGGGTAGACTTACTTCAGGGAGGTAGCGTTCCTGCCCACGCGAGCTCCTGGTTTTCCTCCATTCCCTAATTAGAGGAAACCAGGTCCAAACCCCAATATTATCCTACCCAAACCCCAAATTCCTAACCTATATCCCCCCCACCTATTTCACCGAAGGATTGCCGGTATAAGCAATCCCCCACTTACTGGCCAACGGCTTCGGACGGATGAGCTGGTAAGTCACAGGGCACTCTTTTGTCCAGGGGTTGGGAAACTGGCCCTAAAGGCGAAGGAACCTCAGTAGAGGTCAACGGCATAAGGATGTAGAAGGCCGAGGACAACCACTACATTAAAGATTCCATTGAATAGTCCTAGTATAAAATCATATATGGTAATGCTCACAACTAAATACGATTCCGGAGTAAGTTCCCCAATCGGATCTCGGGGGGGGGGGACAGTTATGAGTACCTATGAAAAACAAAAAGCAGCGAAACCACAATTTTTAAAAATTTGCACATGGAATGTGAAAACTATGGCAAGGAGTGGAAAAATAGACAATGCCATTCAGGAAATGGAAAGAATGACCATTGACATAATGGGAATAAGTGAGATGAGATGGCCCGGAACAGGAAGCATTGACAAAAAAGATCACAGAATATTCTACTCAGGGTCACTAGATGGAAAACTAGAGCATGGAGTTGGTGTGATAATAACGAGAAAAATTAGTAGATGTATTTTAAATTTTGTCCCAGTGTCTAACAGAGTAATACTACTGCAAATAAGAGCCAATCCAGTGAATGTAAACATAATACAAATATACGCTCCCACTGCAGATAAAGACGACGAGGAAGTAGAGACTCTCTATCAAAGCATAGAGGATATATTAAAACGAATACCTAAACATGAGGTCAGCATCATAATGGGGGATTTCAATGCAAAACTTGGGGCCGAACGGAAAACGTCTCTAATCGGACCTTTTGGGTTAGGACAAAGAAACGAAAGAGGTGACAGACTAGAAATATTTGCAGAAGATAACAAACTAGTGGTTCTGAACACATTTTATAAACTACCACCGAGAAGATTGTATACATGGAAGGCACCAGCAGATAAACCCCATAACGTAATTAGAAACCAGATAGATTATATATTGGTAAATAGAAGATTCAGAAACAGTTTTAAATCTGTCAAAACATATCCAGGAGCGGACATTGAATCTGACCACATACCTTTAGTGGGAGTCATGGATGTGAGACTGAAGACAATAAAGAAATAGTCTAGACCTAACTACGACCTGACAGCCCTGCAACATCCGGAAGTTAAAAAGCAAGTGGGGGAATATATTAACAACCAAGTTAAACAACTAAAAGAAGAAAATAACATCCAACGAGAAATCAATCAATTCGAAGAAATAATTAAGAAAACTAAACAAGATCTGCTAAAACCAAACAAAGAAACAAAGAAGAAATCTTGGATGACTCCAGAAATCCTCCATTTAATGGAACGCAGAAGGCTAATTAAAGGAAATAAAGATGAGTATAAAAAAATGCAGGCTCACATCAGAAGAAAAATAAGAGAAGCTAAAGAAAATGAAGCTGTAGAGAAATGTAAAGAAATAGAAAGACTACAAGCCAAGCATGACAATTTTAATGTACACAAAAAGGTAAAAGAAATAACGGGTACTTTTAAAAAGCGAACACAAATGAAACTCATAGACACCAATGGAAAATTAATCATTGACACCCAAGAGATGAAAGACAGATGGAAAATATATTTGGAGACACTTTTTCAAGACCAACGAACGGATTATAGGCATCCATTTTCAGAGAGGATGACGGGCCCGGACATACTTAAATCCGAGGTAGAAGAAGCAATAAAACGGATGAAAAGCAGGAAAGCTGTAGGGCCTGATAATATCGAACCTGAATTTTTAAAACTCTTGGAGGAAGAAGGAATAATTTGGATCACGGCTGTCTTCAATAAAATTTACAATACAGGAATCATCCCTGATAAATGGCTAGAATCAGAATTCATAGCGATACCTAAAAAACAGGGGGCTAAAAAGTGCGAAGAATATCGAACAATCAGCCTAATGAGCCACATGTTGAAACTGTTTCTTAGAGTCATCCATGGAAGAATTTATAAGAAGTGCGAGGAACAAATATCGGACAGACAGTTCGGCTTCATTAACGCAGTGGGTACCCGAGAGGCACTTTTTGGAGTACAAGTACTGATTCAAAGATGCAGGGACGTTAACTGCGACGTATACGCGTGCTTGATCGACTACGAAAAGGCATTTGACAGAGTTCAACATCAAAAGATGATAAACATTCTAAAAGAGGCAGACCTGGATGACAAAGACCTCAGAATAATTTCAGAACTCTACTGGAATCAGACCGCATACATGAAAATTAACGGAGAAGAAACAGATCACATAAAAATACTACGTGGAGTTAGACAGGGATGTATCCTATCGCCGTTGATATTTAATATGTACTCAGAGAAAATTTTTAACGAGGCTCTTTACGGAATAGACGAAGGCATCCTTCTAAATGGTGAAAGAGTAAACAATGTTAGATATGCCGACGACACCATGGTGATAGCAGATAGTTTAGAAGGACTTCAGAGGCTAATGGACAGAATAAACGAGTACAGTCAACAGTACGGACTAAACATTAATACCCACAAAACGAAACAAATGATTATCAGCAAGGAGAATATAAACGGGGCTCATCTATATATTAATGGGACGCAGATAGAGCGAGTAAAACAGTATTGTTACCTGGGAACTATTATTAACGAACAGTGGAGCAATTTACAGGAAATAAAGTGCCGCATAGGAAAGGCAAGAACGGTCTTTAACAAAATGAGCGCCATATTCAAAAGTCACAACATATCCCTTGATACAAAAATGAGACATCTGAGATGCTATGTTTTCTCTGTGTTGTTGTACGGGGCGGAGGCATGGACGCTTACAGACGACACTATTAAAAAACTTGAAGCATTTGAGATGTGGCTTTATAGAAGAATGCTGAGAATATCATGGACAGCAAGGATCACGAACAAGGAAGTTCTAGGAAAAATGAAGAAGGAACCAGAGATTGTGTTTACGATCAAACGCATAAAATTGCAATATCTGGGACACGTTATGAGAAATCAGCACCGTTACTCCCTGCTACAGTCTATATTGCAAGGTAAAGTCAAAGGTAAGCGTGGACCCGGTAGAAGGAGAATATCATGGCTGCGGAATTTAAGAACATGGTTTAAGAAAACCTCAACGGAGCTGTTTCGAGCCGCAGCGAGCAAGGTTATGATTGCCAATATGATTTCCAACATCCGAAACGGATAGGAACCAGAAGAAGAAGAAGATAAAATAAAATTAAAATAATAATAAAAAAAATAACATAAAATAAAATAAAATATGACGATCCAGTTAATAATTAACATGCGAGGATTTTTGCAATAAGATCAAAGTGTTTTCGAATCAGTTGCTAGATATTCTATTAAAGTAAAATTAATAGACTAAGGTGGCTAGGACACCTTGAAAGAATGGATACTGGAGGCCCCCAAAGACAGATATTATATCAAGAGCCAGTAGGAACCAGGAAGAGAGGCAGGCCAAGATCTAGATTCAGAACTCAAGTCGAAGATGACTTGAGCAATCTAGTGGTCAGAAATTGGAAAGCCAGGACGAAAGATAGGGGGAAATGGAAACTAATTCTTGAACAGGCCAAGAGGCATGAAGAATTCAAAACGACAGAAACGCAATTAAACGACAGGTACGTGGAGTAGTAAACCCAGTACCATGCATGTTTCTTAATAAAATAAAAATAAAATAAATTAAAATAAAATAAATTAAATTTAAATAAAATATTAATAAAATAAAATAAAATCTATTCAATTTAAAATTAAATAAAATAATAATAAAATAAATTAAATTAGAAACCATCGCTTCGTGCGTAGACAGTAAGAAACATATGCTTTCTCTTCCTAGATTACTTCTGGAATGCCACATCACATATTTTACAATTTTTTTCGTTTTATTTTGACATCTACCACTTTTTATGACAAATTTACCGCTGTAATCAATTTTAAACTGGCAACACTGGTTAAGTTTTTGTGGGCCCGTATTAATTTGATTTTTTTATTAGTAAAGTACGTATTTGATTTCTACCTAGTACAATAAGTAGATTTTTTACATTTGCGTCACCCTCCTCAATTTATTTGTTATATCTAAATAGTATATAATATCTTAAATTTGCACAACCATCTAATTGTTATATCCTAACTTTGCACAACTAAATATACTAATAAAATAAAAGAAAAAAGCTTATACATACGTTGTTCGTCAAAAAATCCCAACCTTTATTTCCATACAAAAAATGCGGGTTGGCGGTGCTACGTCTCTTTCTCTCCGCTCTTTTATTTTGCATCTCCTTGTACGCTTCGTGAGTCGCCAAGGAGAAATAGTTAAGAAATTCTATTTGGGTGATATCTTGGGGTTCGACTGGATTCAGTGCGGCATGTTCTGGCGATGAATGGGGCGATAAGTGCTCCAATGAATCATCCGAGAATGACGTAGCAGAGGCAGATCTTAGTACGCTGGAAAATAAATGTATTTAGTAAGTAATTCTTAAGTAGTCTTTAATTAAGCGATTCTTATTTTTAAATTTACATAAAACAAAGTGCGTGTGTAAGATATTATCGAAAATTTTTATTCTTTTAAAAAGCTTCTCGATGCCATTATATATTGAATATGAACTTTGTTCAAATATCAGCACGGCTACGCTGGATAGCGCGCATCCGAAATGCCCAATATGTGACAGAATGTAGCTAGATAGGCTTTGTCCCCTTGACAGTAAGTTACTAAAAGGTATGAGTACGGCAGATGCGGGGAAGATGGTGTTTCGAGTATTAAAGGGGAGGGGGACCACAATAAGTGGGCTACACAGCTCCTCTTCGAACGTCGAAGAGGAGTAATCAGTTGCAGTGGTCCTCAGTGTTGAGTGCTCTTATGGGATCTCTATATCCGACAGCTAGACAAATGTGTGGTTATGGATGTCACGGCTGGGGTACCCCAGGGGTCTGTCCATGTGAAATGCGTACGAAGGTGTCACGGATTGCGAATTCAAGCGACGCAGGACAGAGGCGAACTTCTGCATCAGGCATGGTATGCAAGCGTACTGATTCAGGACTTAATGAACGAGCAAGATTTAAGTTTCTCTGCACAGAAGACCGAGGCGGTGGTTCTCACAGGGCTGAGAATGAGAGAGAGGAGATTTGAACTGAGCAGGATTGCAAATTATCCCCATGAGATACGTGAAGTATCTGGTGTGATCCTGCACACGAAAGGAAGCTGAAGACAACACGTGCGAAAGGTAGCTTGTAAAGCCGCTGATAAATCAGTGAGAGGAGTGGGAGAAAGGAGGAGGGAGCTACATACATGGTGTTGTACAGTCTCTCGTCCTCTATGCAGCAGCAGTCTGGATGCAGCGGCGGAAATACTGGCGTACAATGGCCTCTGGATATGCGTGGACAAAATCAGTCTGCTGCGGGTACCGAGTGTCTACAGGACTGTATCTGCGGCGACCTTGTGGGTGGTCACCAGCTGTTTAATAGTCAATGAAAATATGATTGGTATTTAGAGATAAAATACTACTGTGGTAACTTGGACAATTTCTAACAAAGTATCTATCTCAATTCTCTATGGATTAACACTATTCTCTATGGAACTCAAATGACATCATCGTCAATTAATATCATTAAATCATGAGAATACATGGCATGAAAAGTAACAAATAAATAACCTCTCTTATTCAAACAAATACATATTATTATTTTATTTCACATTCCAGATAAATATTTTGAATACTCACATAGTTTGCTTCCTAGCTCTGTTCAATGCATTGGTGAGATTAAATCTTCGCTCTTCAAGACCATTCTTTATCAAATTGGTATTTACGGATTTCTGATAAGCTTTATATTCCTCTCTGAGACGTTCTAAGAGATTTTTCTGAAGATAAATAAAATCAAAATGAAAATTCGGTAATATGTAATAAGAAAATATTATTAGAAGTTTTCCTAAATATATTTAGCAATAGATACAGGATATGTATTTTTTATATGACTAAATCGTACCTGTTCCAATCCAATAACGATAATTTCTGCTTCTGCCTTATTGAGCGACTTTTGCAAGGAAACATCCTGAAAAAAAAAACAAAGTTACTTATAGTAATGATATCAACAAATTATTATAAGCCAATCATTAAAAAAACAAAAGTAGATAATAATACAAAAAAGAAAGAAATTGAAGAACATTATAATATCTCATTAATTAGATAATCTTCTTCTTCTACGGCACTACAGCCCAAATTGAGCCTTGGCCTCTTTTATTTTTTGCCTCAATTGTCCTTGTCCACGTTTCTACTCCGTACAGAAGCACTGAGTACATGTAACATTTAAGGAGCCTTATTTTTGTTTCTAGGGTGAGATCATGGCTCGTGAACACAGAGCTTATAGTCAAGAATGCACTCTGTGCCTTTCTGATGCCATTTAATCTCTTGGGTATTGTACCAAGTCTCATTGATTATAGTTCCCAAGTAGTTGTATTGTGAGACACATCCAATTCGCATTTGGTTCACATACAGATTTGCTCCAGTTATGTTTCCTTGCTGATGATCATTAGCTTGGTTTTGTTGGTGTTTATATCCAGTCCATATGTTCTACTTGGTTCCGTTATTTTGTTCATTAAGTTTTGCAGTCCTTCTATGAAATTGGAAAACACTATTATACCATCTGCATACCGCAAGTTATTGAGCTTGACTCCATTTATTAAGATGCCTTCATCAATATCTTTTAGAGCCTTTTCAAAAATGTGCTAAAAAGTACAGATAGAATATCAGTGGTGAAATTATGCACCCCTGTCTCACACCCCTTAAGATTTTGACCTGATCTATATATTCTACATCTATTCGGAGTTTTCGGAGCACCTCTGATTGATTCCAATACAGGTTAGCTATTATTTTTAAGCCTTTTCCGTCAATCCCTGTCCTCTTTAGCACCTTTTGTTCATCATTTGTTCATGCCTGACTCTATCGAAAGCCTTCTTGTAGTCAATCAGGAATGCAAAAACATTACAACTAGCATCTCTACATTTCTAAAACAATACCTGCACGCTAAATAAAGCTTCCCTCGTACCAATGAGGTTCACAAATCCAAACTGATTGGGCGTAATTTGTTCCTCGCATTTCCGGTAAATTCTTTTGTGGATGACTTTTAAAAACAGCTTCAACAGATGGCTCATTAGCCTTATGGTCCTATAATCTTCACAAACTTTCACTCCTGGTTTTTTGAGCAATGGTACAAACTCCGATTTGAGCCACTCTACTTTTATTTTTCCTGCCTTGTGTATTTCCTTATTACACAGAATTTAATTATAACTAGAAATAGAAACATAAATAAAAAAAATACTTACATCAGGATCAGCTTTAAGTCTAGCTAGGATGTTCTGAAATTAAAAGAATAACAGATTAGACAAATTAAGAATGTACATGTAGAATCTTTGTTTTAAGCATAAATTATGATATAAAATAAAAAATCAAAAAGTTAAGGTTAAAATTAAACATCTGGTTGCAAAAATTGTACAATTCTAATGATAGTAGGTATTTTACTAGAAAATGAAAAAGTGTTTATTCCCCATATAATATGTGGATGAAAAGTTTTTAAAGGTAAAAGCTTCTGTAATAATTTGTCATGGATTTAAAAGAATCTGTTACCAAATTCAGCAGAAGAATTTTCATAATACAGTGTACTATATCATCGTTTTCTTCTGTGACAAGAAGTGAGAAGCCTTTGAAAGCCAAACTGTTCCAAAGAGCTTGCTAATAGGATCATACATGCCAATATCTTGAGAATTAACATGACACAAAAAGTAAAGGCTATGCTGATAGAATTTCAAGATGTTTTTGCAATGGATGAAAAGGATACAGGCAAATCAAGCTTAGTAATCTATAAAATCAATACGGATTAGACAATACCCAAGAAGAAAAAGACTAGCCATAGTTGAATGTACCTTAAGGTAAAGTGTCAAAAATATTGCATTAGTTATATAAAATTGCATCAAATGGACCCTTTGGTATTACAAACAATTTGGCAAAGGGTTTAAGAACAGTTCTACTGTGACGTGAACTGAAAAGAAGATTATTGGTTGCAGTATGTCTGCTGCATGATCATGAATTCAGCTCCAAATTGTCAGAAGAAACTGTCACAGGTGAAGATTAAGTTGACTAAACAAAGTTGTAGATAAACAACATCCCAAACATTGACTGATAACATATTCACATAAGTAGTGATAGAATCAAAGATGAATATAAACCTTGGTAAACAAATGGAAGCTTTGAAGTAGTTGATCGCACTTGCAAATGACATTGAGGCTTTTTTTTAAACTTAAAAGATGATAGAAAGGTTTGTATGAAATCAAAAAGGGAATAAATGACTTTATATATGGAATTAACTACTAAAAGGAAAACCCATCATTGTCCACTAAGATTCTTTTGCACTTTATACCAACTCGAATGATACTGACGAAGCAAGGACCTTTTAACAACAAAACTATGGGAAATTATAAAAAATGCAGAAGATGCATTTGTAGCAGGAAAAGTTAAAAAATCAGCAGCCTAGTGTTGGTAAAGTGTTCTGTCTAAGAAAGTGGCAATTGTTCTCAATGTTACACATTGATGAAACAATTGCACATTCCATAGATAAGTCATGGGTTGAAAAACATGGATTGGAATATCCTGAACACCATTGTTGCTTATGTTAGACTCTACTTATGTCTCTGCTTATGCAGAGACTTGCATATAAATTACTGTGAACTACTTTAATCGCAGAGCTAAATGACTGGAAAAATGTGTCACCAATGATTCACCTCACCCACAAAAGTGTTAATTTTTCAACCAATAGAAATATCTAGATATGGTCTGTAAATATATTTTAAGAGGTAATGGTATAAATAAATAAATATAAAATTAAATTCATGTTTATAACAATATTTACAATATTAAAAAAGAATAGAATGTGATATAAATATTATTTAATACCATCTGAACCTTATTCAAGCATTAACCGAAATATGTCTATCTTATTTTGCATATGTCTAACTACATCACTTTTTTAGTTAAATAAAGACTTGTATACCTACTTTACATTTACAGAGAAAATATATATCTGATAAATTTGTTATTAATCAAACATATTGCTTCTCATCTTCACCATCAAAAATGTATAAGATATCCATGTTTTCAAGCCAATTTTAAGGCTGTTTTATATTAACAAATTTATATTAACCACAAATTAATAGAAAATGGAACAATTATAAAAACAATTTGATGGATTACAAATTTTAAACAATAAATGTGAATCAAGACCCCTTACACATTTTTATTTTCAAAAAAAAAAGAAAGTAAATCTATCCTTGGCAATAATTATTTGACAGTACAAACTGACATATTTTTATAATTTTACCAGAAGCAATTCTTTAATAGTATAAAATGACCTAAATGATAGAGGGTGATGTTTAAATAAGACAAAAGAAAAAGAAATAATTTGTTATATAACTTTTCCAATAGTTATGAAACTTATGGTTTTGTTATCCTTTTAAAATTTTCTTATTAGACCAGGATACAAATATATTTCTCAGTTACATAATTTTTCAAACAAATATTAATTTTTAAGTAAAAACTTCAAAATATTTCCAAAATATCTAAATATTAAGTCCAAAACAATCAGTCAAAAACAGACATTGGAAAATATAATTGATTGAGGAACTCTCAACAAGGCTACATTTTTATAATAGGACTGATTCAGTAGACAGTAATAATAAAGAGTTTTTAATTAAAGTGAAATGTATAAAATTGTATTCACCTCTTTTAAATTATTAATTAAAAATAAACATTTATTAAATTCTGACGTCATAAATAAAAAGATTCTTTGTTTTTGAAAAGTTTCATTTTTAATTGAAAAAAATCGTCTTGCCGTGTAGACAAATTTAAATATTATTGACGCACATGCCTTTATCAAAAAACTTTTAGAACTTTTTAACAACTAAAAATTGTACATGTAAGTAAAAATTCCTTCACAAGTAATCCTAATAAATTACATAAGATTTCTTATTTTTCTGATAAGACAGCTACAGGTAGAAATACAAAACTTTTGATTGCTGTAATAAACAAGAAGGTGATAAAATAAAAATAATACCTGATGGTTGCAAATAGCAGTTTTCAGTTGAGTCTGGTTTGATTCAATGTCACATTTTAACTCTTTGGATACCTCCATTCCATTCATTTTACTTAAAACGCTTTTCACTTTCAGAAATTCAGTTCAATAAATTTTTTCTACACCTATTTCACATACTCAGTTTTATCATCGTTTTTCTTTCACTAATTTCAGGATTTTCTTTTTCTTTCTAACAGTAATTTTTGATTGGCTGGAATTTTCATGGATTTCTGTTGATCTGTTCTATGACAAGAAAAACACGGTGGAGAGACGAAAGAAAACCAGCGGCGTCACAATTAAATAACGAGAAACTCATTCAATTACGCAAAAAGTATTCTAGGGTATCCATATCACGAATGGCGCACTTTAAAAAATTCAGATTATTTCAATGTCAATATTTTAACCACAACTTTCACATTTTGAACATAAAGGCCGTGCAGGTAAAAATGATAAAAATGAAGGTGAAAGTTTAATGAATGATGACACTAATTATTAGATTTTTTATATTGACATTTGCACTGTGCACAATTAAATTATGGAATTACTGTCAGAAAATCCAAATATAAATGAAACACTCAAAAATTGTAATTACTTAATTGTAATATCAATTTCAGCCTATAATAAATGGCTTTATTTAATTTGTTTCCTCCAATATTAATATTTATAATTAACAAATCGTTTTATTTTATTTAAAGAGAAATATTTCATTAAGTTAAAAATAAATAAATTGATAAAAATACCTGATGGTTGCAGACTGCGGTTTTCAGTTGAATACGATTCGTTTCGATGGCACATTTAAATTCTTCAGTTATCTTATCAGTCATTTTCTGTATTAACTTATACTAAATAACTTATGTTTATCACTATCACTATAAATCACTCAAAAGGCATGTAAATGCTAAATTAAAATAGTTTCTGCCGTCTCTTTTAACAATTACAAGGTTTTCTTGCTCTTTCTAACAGTAATTCTTAATTTCTGATTGGTGGATTTTAGAGATGCCTTTCTTAATGCATTGTTGATCTGTTGATTAAGAAAATCTGCCTCTACAAAAGAACTACAGCAAGTGACTTAAATCACAGAACAGAATAAGAAATGGTTTTTGCTTATTCTATGCTGAAAATTATGGACCATAGAACATTAAGATACTAAGCTAGGTGATAAGGAAGAGTTAAGAACTTTATTTAGTTATAAATAAGAGTTATTTATAAATAAGAGTTAATTTATAAGAGTTATTAAACCATAGCATATAGTCACAGAATAATAAACAATCAGAAGGGCCACTCTCAGATGCCGCCTTTGAAGTTTTTCAGCACGCGCGCCATGTTTGAGGAGGACACAGACATATGATTTGTGTGGTTATGTAATTGTTTATATTTATGTTTAATTATATTATATTTATGTTATTATATTTAACAATGTTAATATAATTGTATAGTATGTCTATGATTGCCGTAAGTCAAATAAACCTGGTTAATTTTTCCATGCACACCACATAATTTCTTTAAAATCCTCCTAAAACATGGCGGAACGTCTGCGCGGAGGAGATGCGCGTACTTAATTTTCCGTGGAGAGTGGGTATTCTGTATGTTTATTATTCTGTGATATAGTTATAACCAGTTATAACTGTCAATATTATACGAAACCGTTAAATTATATCGTTTATAATACGAATGATATATTTTAGTGGATTAAAAAATATTTTATAATGCCAATATTTTACTATAATATTTTTCATGCGTATTTCTCAGTGTAAATGAAAGTAAAAATGATACATCACATTGGTGTTTATCTCAGGCAACTATGTTTTATTTTTCCTATAATAGAAAATATGTACGATAAATGTACAGAAAATAGATAGCCTAAATTGAATAAACAATTAGGTAATAAATATAGAAAAGACAGTTACATTATTTAAAATCCACAACGAAAATGAAATTCCTGTAGTTGGCTGAATCATAAAAGCTTTTGATTAAAAAAATCCTTTACAAAAGGTATATATCTTCTAAAAATGCCCTTTTGGGTGACATCGTAGCACGTTTTCGGGCTATAAAGTCCATCAACAGTGCATTTACCAGGCATAAATAAGTAAAGCCACTAAATATGTGGCTAAAAACCCTTTAAAAATTATGATAATTTTGTTAATTAATACATTTTTTGCTAAAATTTAAATGATGTCCTTTTAAACAGATTTATTTCGTGGCAACGCAAGACTCCCAGGGGTTGCTAACTTAAAGGAAGTTATCTATATGGGTCCTCGATTGCCATCGGGCATTGCAGTTGTATCGGAGTATCATAATAATAATCGATTAATAAAATTGATATACTTTATTTTTGTCAATAACTAGACTGTCTATTGTATTTTCTCATATTAATTATTATTACTATTATTTATATTACTAACCTAACCTATTTGCCTACAAAATTTCTGTTCGAAAAAAATGGCTGACATTATCTTTCGATGAAAATATCGTGGAGTACCACAGATAAAATAAACCACATGGATTAACTCGCACGAAAGTTCTGTCACAGAATAATATACAATCAGAATGTCCACTCTCCATGGAAAATTAAGTACGCGCATCTCGTTCGCGCAGACGTTCCGCCATGTTTTAGAGGGAACAAGTGTTGTTTATGTGGTGTGCATAGAAAAATTAACCCGGTTTAATTGACTTACGGCAATCATAGACATACTGTCCAAATATATTAACATTGTTAAATATAATAACATAATTAATAATATAATTAAACATAAATATAAACAATTACATAACCTCACAAATCATATGTCTGTGTCACAGAATAATAAACAATATTCTGTGTCTGCGTGATGTGTTTCCTTCTAAAACATGGCGCGCGTGCTGAAAAACTTCAAAGGCGGCATCTGAGAGTGGGCATTCTGATTGTTTATTATTCTGTGGTTCTGTGGTAAATGTACAGAGAACACATTTGAACTACTAATACTAGTAGAGAAGTTCATAGAATAAAATGCCACATCAAAACTATTATTTATTTGAACTACTTAACCACAAAAATAAATATTTATTTTTAAAATTTTAATCCAAATGATTTTCTAATTTACTTAAAATGTTAAGATGTAAAATACATAGTAGTGTCATTTTATTTATAATTATCATTCAACATTCAGTTGCCATAAGGACATACACCAAAGATGATATATTGAAATTACGGTAAAAATATTGATTTTTTCAATACATATCCAAGATTTTAAAATTTCTTTATGATTCCAGGGAAGAGGTAAAAGAAATGTTTTATCATGCTTATGATAGTTACTTGAAATTTGCATATCCATATGATGAGCTGAGACCTATTAGTTGCGATGGAGTAGACACATATGGCAGGTAAATCTTAAACAAAACAAACACTTTGATTTGTTTAAACAAACCTTACCTTATATAGCCTGTATACATATCCTAAATTAAGCGTGTTAAAAATTATATCAAAAGTTTAATCAACTGATTTATAACTGAATTAATCACTGAAAATAGCATACAGAAAGCCTTATTAAATCCATTTCGTAGTTTCCCTACGTTCTACATATGTGTACATAATATTGAATACTCCGTTAAATATTTAAGAGATCTTATATTGGTCTTTAATTTTTCCCGATACCTATTTTTGATAGGTATTAGACTATTTATAAGGTAGACTATTTATAAAGGAAGCAAGACAAAATGAACCCATTAAGAAAACTTATATAGAAAATAAACTTATCATTATGTTTATTGAAATGAGACTTTCATTCTTTTTATCATTTTGTTTTTTTTTTAACATTTTAACTTTGATTTAAGCTACTCCTTGACCTTAATAGATGCACTGGATACATTGGCCATCATGGGAAATTACTCAGAATTTCAAAGAGTTGTAGATATACTCTCAGAGAAAAAGAATTTTGATGCAAATATCAATGTTTCTGTTTTTGAAACAAACATTAGAATAATAGGGGGCCTTCTTAGTGCTCATCTGCTTTCTCATAAGTAAGTATAATGTTTTTTATAAACATTATTCGCTTTTTTACAAGTTGTATTACTTGTTTCTCTATAGTAAAATGCTGAGGAGAATGTCGCGGAAATATTGAAGAATCCAGTCTGAAATAGGTGTTAATAAATTTATACATTTATAGGGCAGGAGCTAAATTAGAACCAGGATGGCCTTGTAACGGGCCTTTATTAAGATTAGCTGAAGATGTAGCAAAAAGACTGATAGTGGCTTTCGATACTAAGACTGGCATGCCATATGGTACAGTTAATCTACACAGTGGTGTTCCCAAAGGAGAAACAACTGTGACTTGTACAGCAGGTGTGGGAACATTTATTGTTGAATTTGGTACATTGAGTAGGTTAACAGGAGATCCGTTATATGAAGAGGTAAATATAAACTGTTTTATCAACTTTTGTTTTACTCTGTTTTAATTTCTTAAAACTTCACAACTATGCTGCATGTCTAATAGTTAGATGTTGCAATAGCTTCACCTCAAACAATTGCAAATGCAATTGTTTGAGGTGAAGAAAGCTTTCTATCAATTTGAAGTGCATTGATGTGTTGATTCTCTTTTGCCCATTCTGTATTCAATACCTGGATTAATCACTACTCTTTTTATCTGATTTGGTGGTATATCATTCCTTAGGACCCCTTCTTTTAACATGATATTTAGTTATTGTATTTTCTGTTCTAATTTTACTTCTAGGGTTACTCTCATTTACATTTCTTTTAAGTTTATAGAATATTCTAGAAACTGAATAACTCACAATCTTTTATGCCTCTAACAGACTTCGAAAGTCTAATATCTTTACTATTAAAAGATGTTATTTAGATTTACTACAGACTAACTATATTATAACAACAAAAAACTACCGAATTAGATACTTATACAAAAAATTGGAGAGAGTTATACTAATATCTGAAGCCTACCACCACTGGCATTATAGACAGAGAATAGAATAGTGTTGCATTTCAATTGATATACAGTATTTTCAGGTTCCTGTATTAAGCCATTCCTGTATTTATAGCTTCTCCATTCTAAGTTTTTGTCATTTCAGGTTGCTCTTAACGCTCTTTATTCTCTGTTTAACCACAAGTCCAACTTAGGATTATTCGGAAACCATGTCGATACAGACACTGGAAGATGGACAG